GACACATATTAATTATGTATAATATTAAATATTATTTAAAATATAAATAAATGGTTAAATCTTGATTACAAAGGGTTAGTTATTTGATTGTTATTCTATAAACATGTCAATAAATCGAAATACTTACCGTGTACTCTGCCGTGTACTTTTGATGTTGTATAATTTTTGAAATATACTAATGAAATTCGGGGTTTTTTTTTTTTTGCTCTCTTGAAATTTTCGATTTTTTCAAATTATAATTTGTTATGGTTTGATAATACGGGAGGACATATTTACATTATAATGTATTTTACTTATCTTTACCCAGAAGCCTTTTTTTTCGCAAAAGATAGAACATCAAGAGTTCTCCACGCACTTAATTAAGAAATTATTTTTTATATTGAACAACATGATTTAAATTAAATATAAATTATTACAAAATAACTTACTACAATTTTATTTCACAGATACACACACATACACACACAAACTCACATATATATACACAGATATATACATATATATATATATAAACATATTTATACAATGATAAATTATTTTTATAATGTTTTTTTTTGTTGTAGTTTTTTCCATGAAGAAAATTAATCTTAACCAATGAACATTTTGCAACATCGTCTTTGGTTACCGAGTGCAACGAACAAAAATCAGTGAACGCACGCGAACCGATGACGATCACTTTTTTCCCTTCCACGAACAAAATAAAAAAAAAAAAATCCCTAATGAAGTGTTTCCGTGACTATTAGTATTCACGTGAAGTTATCCGTGTTCGAAAATACAATAATGTAGATCGTGTCATCAAGATGAAGTGAGTGAATTTTAATCATAATCTATATTGTACTATTATATATCAATATAAATCATATCAATCATTATACTATAGAAATTATTATTTTTACGTGCGATTTTATATAAATGTTTGATCGGTATATCTGCTAGTCTTCGAACGCATTGTGCGCATTGTCGTATTTATAAAATACAAAGTAAAAATGTATTTATGGAAGTACAACCTCATCGATTTATCGCCGAGTATACTATTATTTTATAGCAACATAAATGAATACCTAATATATTAATATCACAATAATAATGAAACCATATATTTACTATATACGTATAAACTCACTGCTATAGTAGTATATCGGCCGTGATGCACCGTGCATACACATATTAAGATTCACGTACTTGCATCATACCATGAAACGATACTTGACTTTTATCCCAGCTACTTTGTGTTGTATTGTTAATATTATTATATTTTTTTTTTTTTTTTTTTTTAAGAAATATATACTTAATAATGTATCATGTTTGAAAAGTTTGACCTTTGAATCGAGCCTGTTCATCTAATGGTCATAAAAAAGCTCCAAACAAATTTTACAATTTTTGTTTAATGCACAGATACCGGGAGCAAAATAATTTTTTTTCTATACCTTAAAATCAAAATCAGAATATTTAAGTGAAAAATCTAGTCGTATATTTGTTGAAAACTTAAGGTAGTTTAATATAACTTATGTCATTTGGTATAATAATGTTGAAAAATTTTAATTTATAAATAATATAAAATCATTCGATTTATTAGTTCATAAATTTTTATTATTTTATTTTTGATTATATTATACTATAACAACTGTTAAATGATTATTAGTTTACACATATACTATTTATATTTACTGAGTAGACACAATGTTTTTATTCGGGCATATATAAGAATTGTAAGGCTTATGGTCAATACCGAATATTTAAGAGATAATAATTCTTCATAAATACCAGCAAACTACCTGAAATTCCTCTTACCGTAATGTAGTCGACTTTATTTTCAATGTCGATAAGTCGTATATATGCACAATCTGTAAATTATAACTAAATCATTCTACAATTATTTGTAATATTAAGATTTCAAAATTATAAACCCTCCTAAGCTACGGCTTAATATATTTAAAAAGACTAGAAAACCTTCCTCGAATATCACATTTCTAATTGACCACGTAAGAATATGAATCGTTTTATTGAATGTATAAATATTTGTTTTTTAGTAATAAAAAATAAAAATATGTCCAATCCCACTAGTCCTGTACAATTGTATCTCCATTAATATAAACATAAAATTAGAGTTTGAAAATCTCTTTGACTTTTTTAAGACATATTATTGATAAGTTTATTTTTTATTAAGTTAAATAATAACTATTTATATGAAATTAAAATATAAATTTGCGTAGTATCAATAATTACTTTAATATTAATATTATATCTTTATTCATAATGGAAATGCTTTCAAACAATTACTTAAAATATACAATTCAAAATATTAGTTCCAAAATATAATGGATAACTCCTATGTTGAATACAAGATACTATTTATACAAAAACCCTTTATTTTAACTAATTATAACAATTTTGAACGAATTAAATTTTCATTTAAACTGATGTTCATAAATACTATGTTATACAATTTTTATGAGAATAGTTGATTAGTTTTCAAGTGAGAATATAATAATTAGAACATATAATTTTAGTATCTAAATCGGAACAACCACAAAATGTTTGGAAAATATTTATTTTCAAATAATTTATTGAAATATTTTTAGAAGGGTAAAAATTTCACGTAAAATATTTAATAATCTTTTATAGCCCTACAAAAAATAATGGAATTCATATTTTAAATTTTATTAGATTTGGTAGTAATAGCAGGTTGGATAGGTGTCCTCGGATGTTTCGATAGCAGTTTCGTTAAAAATACCGAACATGAAAAATGGACTTATAGGTTTAACTGTAATTTTCAATCGTATTAGAAACCTTGTATGTCGGTTTGATTCTTGGGTTATATGTAAGTTTCTTTATAAATTTCAATATTTTTCGTGAAAATTACAGTTGTTTTATCATAATGTCACAAAAAAGTCAAGAAGGAAGTCCAATATTGTTTAAAAAATATTGTAGAATCTATTGTGTTTAATTTAAAAACATACTAATGAGTGATATTAATTTTTTCGTTGTGTTCCAATGTTCCAAAAGTAAATATTTTGTAGATATATTATAGATGTCATGTATGTTTAATCAAAAATTTAGTCGATGACATTAAGACCGCACTATACCAACGATCAATAGCAAAATGTGGTGATTTTATTTTGAAATACATGATTTCAATGTATAATTTTCTCTGGTTATGCATATTAATTTTTATCGATATCTGAAATTTTTTTTAAGAATTTGATATAACTATCACTTTTATATTGATAGCTTTACCATAATTTATTTACCTAATAATATATACCTCTTTATAATGTATTTGGAAGTCTTTTTCTTCTTCTCTTTGGCTTTTTTCCCAACTATTTTGGGTCGGCCAACGTATTTGGAAGTAAAATATAATTTTTCATGAGACTTTATATTCCTTTAGAAAAATTCTTTACCGAATTTGAGGAAGTTGTAGCAAAATAATTTTACAATTACTTCCAAGTCATGAAAACTGGTATAATTAGTGGGCTATTAATACGAACCATGATATCTGAATAATTGCACTATTATCACACTATTTGTATAAGCCAACTATTTAAATAAATTTATATCCATATATTTATGTATACAATTAATTTAACAAAAAACACTATTTGATGAGTATAATTAATTTTGTAATGTAAAGAAATTATCTAACTTAGATCTTACATTTTTTACATAGCAGTTATTTGATATTTCTCATTCGATTATTCTAATAAATTCATTCATTTTCTGGTAATTTTGGGATTTTTGTAGAATGCCAAAGTTAATACATTTTCGGGTACATGCATATTATTTTATGTAATATTCCTTCATATTAAAATATAACAATCGTCTAAACTATATGATACTATACGATATGAAGATCTTAAAAAAAATATTTATTATGGCCTATATTTTTTTAACAATAAATAAGCAAATTGACTTACAACAAATATATGAAGAAATAAAATCCTGAACTATAATACGTAAAAATACGTAAATTAAAAATATCTATATACATCTATAAAAATATTAATTTTATAAAATTTAAAATTTTTTAGTTATAATGAGATTGTTTAAAATATTACAAATAATCGTATTATTGTATTATATAAAATGAAATCTATCGGCTTTTGATAAATGAAATTTTGTTTCATCGAAAGTTAAAACTAAATGCAATATAATATAATGAATTACTATTTTACACTTATTGAACCAGATGATTTCTATAATGTGATTTCAAGTTTATAAAAATTATTGGATTGCATTCCAAATATCATGCAATTTATATTCCTCGAATACAGTACTTATATCTAAATGCTCTAACCTGTTGAGCGCGCACAAAACGAACCCCGTAAAAGGAAATAAAAAATAAAATAAATTTATGTTCACGGATTTTATCGGTTCGAAATCTACAACAGGTGTCTTATCGTACGAATCTAATGTGGTGTTACATGTCAGGCATATGAATATAGCATACATATGTTACGTAAGTAAACACTAAACGATAAAATCCGAACGCCGGGCATTCGTACTACTACAGAAACACCAAGCAGTGGAAAAACCGCTCAAGTACAAGCGTATCTGTTCTCGTGGAAAAAAATAGTAAAATATAACGTTAAATAAGTAAAATATAACGTCAGAACCTATAACTATACACAGGTGTTAAATAATGTTATACGTTTTGGTCGGACACGCGCGTTAAAAATGTCCCAGGAGCATCACCGGAATCGGTGTAAAACTATGCGGTGTAAACCGTCACCTTTAGCCATTTGATTTCTTTATATGTATTTTCCGACGCGTCCCGGTCGTCTTTTTCACCAGAAAAAATCTATTCGTTGTTCACGTTGTATTAGAATACTACGCGACAAACACCCGAGAGACCCGTCGTTTACGATGCGCGCGGGGCAACAATGAATACTTGATGGACGCGCACCGCCATCGTCAGTCACGTCGGCGGCGAGTGGAGCCACCGTTTAGCGCATTATCCCAACAAGCGATGGGCGCATGACCGACGACGCGCGGCGGTCTGGTCTGCCGTCGTCGCCGTCTCGTTCGCCGTCTCCCGGTCACCGGTGCGCACACCACGTGGACCACCAGTTCTCCGCGCGTTCTTGTGCCGGCACGTAGTGATTGTCGCGCGCACCGCGTCGCTGTCGCATATTTTGTGTGACCGATTGCCGACGGTTCGCGCCCGCGGTGTTCTCGGCCGCGACGTACGCGGAAACCTGTCGTGGGGCAAATATACTGCTGTGCGTATTTTGGATATTTTGTTTAACCATCGTTCTATTCCAGTCGTTGATCGCACGACGAGAGAAAAACCAAACGTACCCATATGGTGGCCGTATTATACCTCGGGTATAATTTCGTAATAATGGACCGTTGCGACCGTAGATGGTTTTGTACTTAGCTCGTCGAATACGGAACAAGGTAAAAACGAAAAACTGTTAGTTCGGGATACACATATCTTTTGTGATCGGATAATCGTCAAAAGTACAAAAAAACGGAATTGTAATTGTTATTTTATTATTATTCTCGATAATATAAGATTATAGTGTTTATTTCAAGTATTCGTAAAAAAAATTATTATTATTTCATAAAAAAATACAGTTACTTTGAAAATTATGAAAAATTGCTAAAACACACAACTTCTTTAAAAATGAATCAACGAATTCAAAAAATAATTTCACAAAAAAAAAAAAATAATTTATAATTAATCATATAATTATACTATATATATACATATCTATATATATGAATATATTAATAAAGTAAGATTCATGCTCATCACTTAACAATATAGCTCTGTATGGAACAAGAATAAAGAATATTTTACTTATAACCAAGTACACAAATTGGATAATTTTTTTGCGGCATGATCCTACATTTCAACTTTTACGTTATCAATATCTTTGAATAATTTTTGAGTAATTATAGTTACTAGTTGTTATCTATGAGACATTTTAATATCTATCAAAGAATTTTGAAAACATTTTAACAATTTTAACTGCCATATACATTGGTTATTAATATTTTAATTGCATTTGAGTAAATCATTTTAACTTCAAATGTATGAACGGAAATAAAAATTATAACCTTAAAGTATAAATAGTAATGAAGTAATATATTAGTTAAGTCATAAGTGTTCTCTATAAAATAGAAAACAAATTATACTATTTGAATTGATTTTATTATCTAGTAACATGGTGTATTATATTTATAATATATAAACATATGTCTCTTCTATAACATTATTAAAATTGTGATATGAAAAAATAATTAAATCATATGTGTAGTAGATATTGGCTAACTAGATTAGGAGAAGGAGAAAGGTAATAGTATTTTTAGTATAACATAGACCTACAAGAGACTTCTATCCATTATAATTTCCATAATCCCTCTTTATATTTTTAAAGTCCAATATAATAATTTAACTTATGTACCTTGATATGGTAATTACAGTTTACGGTTATAATAGATTATAAAAAACAGTACATAAATATTTTTTATTAAAAATAAATGATATTTTAAGTTCAACATAAAATAATATTTAAATTTATTTGCCAATAGTTTTAAAATAATATCTCTTTAATAGGACAGACTTTTGCATTATAATTCATTAAAGATCGCGTTATTGTTGTTATTTAAAGATGAGAAATTCCAATTTTTATTTAGATAAACATATACTCGTAATAACATTCCATGGATTCACTGTGTTTATAGTAATTAACTATCGATATTGTTGATACCGGGTTGACATATATATTGTACATATAATATTTTTCGATAGTAAATCGTTGTAAAATATCATTGTAAATAAAATTTGAAACATTTTATGTATAAAATATATAACTTACACTTATCAACATATTCAACATTGGGACGTAATGCATTTTATAATATTCTCTTTTGAAAAATAAAAATGTAATAATCGTTATCGAGAATTTGTTTTAGTGAGATGTAAGTGTTTAAGTCTGTGAAAATTATTATGGTGGGAAGTAATTCCTTAAGTTCCTCTCTAATTTACATCGAAAAAATCTTTACAGTTAAATATTGAATAGTTTTTAACCATAATTGTACTATTTAGTTGTGAAATGAATACATTTACATTCAATGTACAAAATGAAATCAACGATTAGTAAACAATATTGGTAATATAAATTATATTTTATATTTTGTTTTTTACGTTTGTATTTGAGTTTCGATATATGGTAAATATTATTTACTATTGACGGTTTATAGACATAAACCATAGAAATAGAAATGACCCCTCTTGCCTGTCAAGCACAATTAAATTTTAACAATTTAAATGCTGTCATTTGTGTTGATATGTTTCTTATATACATGACGTTTTCATATTATTCTTCTTTTAGCTGATCACCTGTCAAAATAGGTTCAACACATTTTTATTGTGTTCCACTTTCTATACAACGTTTTACCCCAATATGTAGATAATAATCATGTAGTAAACATCTATAAAATCTATGGTATGATGTGGGAATCGGGAGTATATCAATACTCAATAGTTTATTCATTGTTATATTTTAGTATACAAACCGTTAAAAAAAGATTTATTTTTATTGTTCATTTATATATAATATTTGTATTACATTTTATATTTTAATGTCAGATATTATATTTTTAACAAAAACATGTTGATAAATATTAAAATATTAAGTAAATCTTTTAAGTATAGATATTGGATTTGTTTTTAATTTAGATGTTTTTCAATAAAGACATTTCCTAATGTAAAAATTAAGGTTTGAAATTTTATTTTGAGAGATATAATATTATGTGCAGAACTTCCAATATTATAATGAAAAAAATGGAGAAAATGTATTTTTAAAATATATATTTCATAAAATATTGCGACTTAAGATCTGTTCTTTCAGTCTTGACTCTAAGAAATAGTATACTAATTGTATATTTTCAAAATCATATTCTGTAGCTTAAGATTTTATAATATTTTAGAAAATATTTAACAAATCTATGTATAAGTAACTAGTGGCATAAATTCTATCTTGCTCTGGGGGGGGGGGTTAGCAAAAATAATCGTTATCTTTTTTTTTCGTTGCACAGATAAATAAGATAAATAACTGCTATAAATAGATATTATTTTATACAACTTTTTTACCAATTAACAGTTTGCTTTTACATTATAGTAAATTAATAGCTATTGGAATATAAAAACAGCATAGTTAACAAAACTTTTCAAACACCTATCAATATAATTATTTAATAATTATAATATTTGTATATTTGTTTTTTTAAGTTCAAAGCGTAATAATGAAACTACGAATATATTACACGTCATCAATAATAAAAAAAATTTCTTTTTTTTTTTTGGCCTTGGAGGGGCATGGATTTAATATTTTAAATTGCATTCCAATATTAATTTGATCCATGTTTTTTGGATTGAAATTGCATTTAATTTTTCTTTGAATTTGGGTTTCGGGTAAACATCAGGTTCACATATTTGTCAGGTTTTGGTTTATGGTTCATACAAGATTTCAATTTTTTTCCGGATTGTAACCTGTTTTGATTCCCTGCTGTAAAGCAATCAGCTATCATTGTATTAAAATAGGTTTGTATTAAATTCCGAAATAATTTACAAGTGTTCATAAAACAACTTCAGAAAAATTATTTTTGAATTATTTTTATATCTAATTATGAATAAAACGTACACATTTTTTATTAAACATGCAGATATTTATTAACAATTACATTTCAAAGACTTATTATAAAAAATCGGAAAAATACCAAAAGAGACAAAATAAGTTTTGTTATATTATTACAATAGAGTATCTATAAAATACTTAAATTGATAATGAACCTATATAAAATATCCAGGGCTGTTTAATACTAGCAAAATAATAACAATCTATATACTTAGTAGTTAAATCCTGAACTTATTTACTTTATTGTCTTTACCTGAACCTAAAGAAAGAATGGTGACAACAAAATCATTTCTTTCTCGTGCTACTAATCCTATGTAATCTTCAATATCTCCCGCATTCTTAATGAGATAAAATACTTTCAATTTAAAATTTCAATATAAATTAAAAAGACATTTATTCAATTTCCTACTAAGAATCAAATTTAGGTGACAATTCGTTCTTTAATGTTAAATAATTATTTAAAAAATGTCATACATTAGATAAAAATAGTATATGAATACGATTCTTAATAGTATGATAATAGCATTTAATTATATAAATAAACATTCTTAAAAACAAATTTATTACTTAAAAAATATAACTCTTATGGGTATAGATTGGAATATATTTTATGTTAAGTTATTTTGTGATTTCAAAAAACGATATTCAGTTTTATACTGTTGAAGATTATAGTCATTAGTTACACTTAATTAACATGAATGATCTCATCATAAAGTGTTGATCAGAATTTTACGAGTTCTAAACCATATTACTCCGTTCCGCGTTGGCGTGTGAACGAGTATAGTATTCCTAAATTATAATATGACATCATTCTCATATTAATACCATGTGGTCTGCATAGTTACACATAAGTGTTACATGTTGTAAAAAAATAATAATACACATAATATCATGTAGAAATTATTGTTATTTTATAGGACGAAAAGAATCACAGATGGGGTTCATCACTGTTATTATTGTGCTGTATTGCTTGTCAAGTGCTGCGGGTCACTTGAATGTGTTTATAAGTCAAAAAGAAGTTAAAAGGATTATGGGTAAGTGAATTATATTAGATAATTCCTAACATTATATTATATATTAATATATTTATTTATATTATGTGATTTGGTGATTTTAATATTATTAAATTTATAACAGAACTCATAGCTTTTGTGTTTAAAGTATTAATACTAATGACATTTATTTAAATTACTTTGAATGCTAGTATTATTCTCGTGTAAATGTATAAATATATTAAAATAGTATAACATATTAAAATAAATTTGTATGCTGTAGTAGAATATGAATATATTTGTACTATAGAAAATGTTATAAGATTATAATTATAAATTTACATACTTCAATGTACTAGAAATTTAACAGAGCTAATGCATTTAATTGTGCTGTAAAATAACATAATATAAACAATTTACATAAAAAATTTTTTAGTGGTCTTCAAAAATAACAAGCAATATTATTCAACTTTAAAGTAGCCACTTGCAATCTACTACTTAGGTTTGTTACCAGGTTTATTTTTATTGATATCTCAATAAATTATGTATATTATTTAATTTTTACTACATAATATAATATTTCACATTTTAATATTTTTAAATTAAACTTTCATTAGGTTTTATTATTTTTGTTTGAAAATCATTTTAATATATCTCTATTTTAAGATTGTTTAACTGACGATTTCGATAATATACAATAACCTTACAATTACATTACTCATTGTTTAACTTTTTTGTTAAATTATATACACATTGATTGTACTTATTAATTTAATCTATAACTGGAAAAAAATCATCTAAATCATTACGTCATTCTTATTGAAAACTGTTTTGTACTATAACCATTTAATTAAATGTAAATTAATTTTATCCGTTAATGTAATATTTTCTTTGAAGGTTTAAAAGTACAATTCGTGTTTTATTTATTTTTCTTATATAATTACATTTCATTTCTAAACGTTTGTATAACAGTACTTCAATCGCAGTTATTGAATTATTTTTAAGTTTTTCTTCTTACCACATAACTTATTCTTTTAGAAAATATTGCAATTTTATTTTCTAAACGAAACCATCTGTAAAACGCTTATAGGCGCCTTCAAAATTAGATTTTGCCGCCGTCGTTGTCTCCATTAAACTTGGTGAGCTCTGACAAAGAACCCTTTTACATCACTAGCCGTAATGTAGGGTGTTTGACCTTAAAAAAAAATAAAGTGCATTATTTGAAAGCTCAAAGCTTTTTATGTATAAAACAAGATACCAAATTGGCAACTCCAGTAGAGGGTGAGTTTTTGGCGAGCCAATTGGAACATCGTAATATTACAAAATTAAACGCTGTGTAAAAATGGATAGAAGTTGGTAAAAGATAAAAGTAAAGTTAATGAAGAATTAGATCATTTTAACTTTTATTCGTTACAAATAAGAAATACTCTTCATTTCATTGCATTATAAGACGAAAAAAAGGTAATTTCCCTTTCTTTAAAATGTAAATGTTAATTTATTTTTGATGAAAAAATAAAAGTTTTTTGTAATATATTAAGTTTTGAACATTGTAAATAATATTTATATTTAAATTACATTCTTCTTTTGCAACTTAAAATTTAAAAATCTTATAAGAGGTTTTTGTGAATTTTATGTTATTATGATTTTATTTGCATATATTTTAAAAATAACAATCATTCATTTTCATTTTATTTACTAAAAAAAATGTTAACACGTGTACTATAATTTTAATTAAAATATCCAGTTACAAAATTATATTTGATATTTTTTTAAGAAATATAGTTAAAATAGTAAGAATAAAAGTTAATACTTATTCAAGTTATTGATACACAAATATAGTATTGAGATGTATTTCTATCTCTGTTTAGAGGTTATTCTTATGAAATAAGAAGTTATAGTTCGTTAAGTCCTGCTTACCATGTATTTCGTTAATTTTACAAGTACATTTGTGTTGTTTTATATTTTAACGAATATATTTAAAAAAAATTAGGCAAATAGGTAAAAAATAACTAAAGTAAAAGGTATTTTTATGTCAATAAATGCAACAGTTATAATTAATAATTGTTACAAAAAATTCCTATAGTTCTTTGTTTTACCGGACTTTTCATGACTTAGAAGCGTATTGTTAGTTTACTAAATGCCAAACCTGCTTTCTATTTACTATCTTTATGGAGAGTGTAAGATACTAGCGTTTTAACTTTTTTTCAGACTACAGACTATTTTAATTCAGCTTATTTGAACATAATCTACAGTAAAAAATACAATACTCTTAATGGAAACATCTATTATTATTATTATTATTTTTTTTTTACAATATAATGTTGATCTATTAAATTATGGGTTTTTTTTATAAAAAATTAACTATCATTAAACGAGTTTGAATATTTATTTAGCAATTTGAATGCCATGTTTTGATAACTTAATTATACACTAAACTAGATTTACTAATTTTGTATATAAACGAATTTTAGTTTAATTGCAACTAACAAGTTGTTCACTACTTTTGAATTTTTAAATGTAGAATATATATATGTACATTGCATCTATTTTTTAAAATATATATATCGTAATAATATTGAAATAAAACCACATAAAATTAAACAATATGTGTTCATTTGTAATACTATAACGGTGCATCATTTTATATTTAATAAGTAAAACAAAATTCAAAAATCGATCAATAAAAAAACATTGTTAGGATTGGTACACGTTTATTAATTTAAACATGTATGTCAAAAACAAATTACAAACAGTTTTTCTTTACTCCGGGTATTGGAATGGTGGAAAATGTCAATTGTTAATACGAAGCTATATTGTTTTTTATTTTTTTATTAATTGAATTCAGAGAGATGGAGAGACCCTACTCATATCCTCCGCAATCTCAATAGTTTGTTTTTTTTATCAGGAGGGTTTCTTTTTTTATTTATATTTGAAAAATAAATATTATTACAAGCTTTCCTGAGAGGAGATCGTATACTGCCATTCCAAGGGTGGTATATATGCAAAATGCCATGGCACGCTAGAGGACGGTGGCTGAGTGAGAGCGAGAGCTTTCGTAGTAGAGCAACAAAAGAATAACAGCGTATTAAACGTTAAAAAGCCCTTAGGCCCGAAGGAATTAATTTTCATGTGCCGCTTCCGCCTTTTCAATGTAGACTTGCTAACATTAAATATTAACCCTTCAAAAGCTCTTGCTCTGTTTCTTTCACTCTGTCCACCTCTCCCCTATTTATTTTTGTGGCGTTATAACAATCTAGAACAATACGTATGACCATTTTTCTTTCTCCGTCGTTTTAGTTCGCATTGTTATTTTACGTTAATATATTAGTCTCAACTGTTCTTTTTGAAATACAAGTTAAAGACTATGTTTAAAGAAATAATAGTGATAATTTTTATATTTATAAATTAGTTTTGATGGGTTTTTATTAAATTTATAATTATACTCAATGACAGATTTTTGATATAAAAATAGTGAAATAATTATTTTGGAAATAATTGATGACATTTTTTCAATCTTATACCAAGTTAACGGTTTTTTAAATTTTTATATTATAAATTAATTTTATTTTTATACTCGTTATTAAGTATGAATTAATAATATGGTTCATTTCTACGTCACTGGAATCCCTGTTCATTTACAAAAACCGGTTTGAAAAGATTTAAAAAATAATTCTTTTTTTCTTGAAATTAGAAATATGCTGGTTTTATTAGTATTTAAGAATATTTATCAATTTGCTGACAAATTTCTATAACTGTTGACAAATTTTATATTAATTAATTTTAATATCCATTGTGCTGCACCGCGATGTGTCATTCTACATTCTTTTACATCCAAAATAATACATTTTAAACTTTAATTCTTAAATGATTATTATTATTATTATTAATAGTACATTAATTATCATTAAAAGACAGATTAACCATATAAATGAAAAGTTAAATAATTATTTGAATACTTTGATTATGAATATTTAAAAATTAATTTTATGTTATATTGAATTTATAGTTTCATTATTATTTTAAATTAACAAATAATGAAATATCGACATTGATATTATTCAATATTAATATTAATGTCATATTTTTAAAGTATGTTTAATTAAAATTTTTAGTAATTTTTTTTAAATTCTAAATATTTTTATTTTAATGGAATTACTAATTAGATATAATGTAATAGGTAATATGTATTAGGTAGCAATTAAATTTTTGATTTTTGAATATTTTGCTGCATTTTTTGTATTGTGTATTTGAATTGTGGTTTTGAATTTTCACGGTGGTGGGCTAATCATGTCCTCAGCCCCCCACTCTCTTTGAAAGTCAGATTGCTTGGAAAAGGGTTGAGCACAAACGACAGGATTGAAAGCACAAACCAGCACAAACGAAGCACAAACGAATAATATAATTTTGGTTTTTAATTTCCAAAGTGGGGACCAGGGAAATGGAACTTGAAAAATCGTCAATGGAACATGAGGCTCACCTCGGCCAGGATAGGGATGGATATCGAACACAGAGAGTCAGAGAATTGTCCACACAGATACATAGTAACACCGAACAAAATGGACAACTGAACAGCCACAGATCTGAGAGCTTTGGCCACACGTCAATAAATTAGAACTTAAAACTAACATGAGGGTTTCTATGATTTCACCTGAGAATAGGCTTTTTTTAGAGAAATTTTCTGCTAAAAGTTGGTAATGGAGAGCTAACACAGATCACCAACTAATGAAGAAGTAGTTCAGGTAAATAACTTGATTCTTTCAAAGACTGATGCGCCGATGCAAATATATTACTCGGTTGATACTGTTCTCGATTTATAAGAATCTGTTCATTTTCCTACAGAATTTCTTAATTCTTTGAGCTCGTCTGGATTCCCCTCCCCCTCATAAAATGGTATTGAAAGTAGGTTGGCCTGTTATTTTATTAGGAAATCTGAACCCACCTAAACTTTGCAATGGCACGCGTTTGCTGGTAAAACCACTAAAAACTTTCATAATAGAGTGCACAATACTCACCAGATGTGGTATCGAAGATGTATTGATTCT